AACATATATATATATAAAATGAAGCAGCAGAGAAAGACTTTCTCTGTATTGCTCAGACTTGTACCTCTAGAGATGGATTGTATATCCATCTGATCTACAAGATTATGGAAATGTTTTGCTTCTCCAAAACGAAGTGTGACAGGGACAGATTAAACGGTCATCCAAATGATCATTCCTTTCCACATAGCAAAATTCTCTTCCCAGCACAGACTTCCGCGTCCAGTGGGGATCTTCTGTCAAATAGGAGAAAACCCAGGAAGGAGGAAGGAGAAAACCCAGCTCCTGCTCCACATTTAAAATGTCTATTGATGAAGTCAAGAGACCATAAAATCAGTGGCATTTGATGATTTGCTTTTGCATTATATAATCTTTGCCTCTGGTTTTATACATCATCGTGGGTACCAGAAAGATTTGACTGCACCGACAAGATCAAAGGATACTTTAAATAATAAACATTTCATATCTATTCTTTCAGCAACATTGTGCATAAATAAGACACACATCTTCAGTTTTATAATTTGGGTTTTTGCAGTTAACCCTGATAATTCAACTTCTCTTAACTATAAAAAAAGGGTTGTCATTTGTGTTTCTAGGTAAAAAAGACAGCTGCTATCAACATTACAAATTAATTTCACATTGAGTCTTAGTCACAATGCAATGAACTAGTGTTCATTAAAATAAGCTTCTGTTTGCCAGATTCTATGACCAAATACTGGTTTTTACTAGTTTTTCCACGTGGAAGAAGACATAGGGATTGTCTGTAATGTTCCAGAAAGGTCTTTACCCAGAGGGAATACTCCTTATGTCAATTATCTGTGTTTGGGAAGGATCATAGATGTAGAATGTATAGAAGATGGAGTTGATTCTCTATCTCTTCTCTTTTTCCTTCCAAATCCTTCACAGCCTTGAATTCTGCCTCAAAGATTAATCTGATCCTCATCCTCCCCTCCTGTGTTTCTCATTCTCTTTTTTACAACTAACTTCCGCTCACTTGCTGAGCGACCAATCATAGAACTTCTTAGAATTTGGGGAAACAAACTTTAAACTCTGAATTCCCTAATTTCACTTATATTTTTATGTTTTTATGTTCCTTAAAAGTTACCGTGAGTTGATTTCTGGTTGGGTGGATTTCCCCCCTGTCCTGTTTGTTCACAATGAATTTAGCTTTAAAAGGTGTTTAATTTTAGTAACATATGGAATTTTTTCAGTAACTAATAGTATTATGGTGATAAGTATGATTGTAGATGGTCCTTGGATAAACCAGAGTGTATCTCAGAATCAGATGATTAACCATGGAAGAAAGTCTTTTTAGCTATAGAAGACCCTTTGTATAAAAAAACAAAATTCCAATTTAGCAACCTGAGTTTAATAGGCAGCCAAACCTATTTTCCTCTTAGTTTTGAGGCTCTATCCTGTTTGACTGTGCTCCTTATCACATGATCACAATTTAGAATGGTGTTCTCCAAAAGTCTAGCCATATCACAAACAAGATTATCTCACAGTGCTGAAAGTGTTTAAGATTGTGAGAAATCAGCTCAAAGTTCCAGAAGAAAGCTTTAATTATTATCCTTCAGCACACCCAGAGAAGAACAAGCCATGCTACCCATCACCCCGTACCTTGGTGAACATGGGCTTCCCGTGCTGGGTGACCATAGCACACTGGTCACAGTCCACTGTGATGGATGAGTTGTGGTATGACTCTTTTGAGTGTTTGAGAATGTAATACAGGTCAGTCACCCCTCCTTCAAACACAGTGCTAAAGTAACGGGGAATGAGGGTCCTGCCAATAGCTGGAAGAGAAACACAGAGAAACAAATAATTAATAAAACTATCTGACTGGTTCCCCACACCCCACACCATCACCAGATCTCCAGCTGGATATAAGTCATCTCAAGAAACAATACCAGGAGGCATTTATTTATTTATTTATTTGTTTGTTTGTTTGTTTGTTTATTTATTTAATAAATAGCCATGACCCTTCTGGGTTATAGTTAATAAAATCCCCAGCTATTCAGAAAAAAAGTTTGTACAGTCATCTCTCCAGATTTTGTGTCCCATTGAAGGTCAATAATAAAAGGGTTAGTATTTTACAAGAATGGAGACAAACATGTTGAGTACTTTGGATTTTACGTATGTTCTCTAAGCGAACATATTTTCAAAAAATAAAACACATCCAACCTACTTGGATTTTTCAATGGATTGTTTACAGACACATTATCCAATCATCCAATCATGTTTTAGAAGCAGTGGTAGTCATAAGAATACAAATTTTAATAATGGAGTGCTTTGTAGTGTGTGAAGTAGTTTGGCATTCTCTCATTGAATCTTAAGAACAACCTTAAGAGTGTAAGGGACTGAGATCCAAAAAGGTTTTTATGGAAAAAAAAAGTTATCAGGATCGTTTCAAAGTCACACAACTTATGAGTAGATAATTGAGGTCTCTGACTCCAAATTTGCAAACACCCAAACATTCTTTCTAACACTACGTCTCAAACTGCTTTAATGAATGGACATCTTTAAAAAGTAATCCATATATGCCTGTACAAAGAGATCCATACCTCTGTAAATACTGATGATTCTGTCTGTTTCTGGAGTTGGATAGGATATCTTTCCAGAATAAAAGGTTTATGTTAAGAGAACTTGATACCTTCCACTTGGTCTAAATTGGTCTCTTTAATTCCTTGTGTTCTGTCCTGCCCCATTTTAGTTTGAGTGATTGGTAAGTAGCTGGGTCTCTCTGATATATGATGCTTAGAAACAGCTAACAAGCCCTTGCTTTAGCAGAGATTTTAAATCCTCTTACACTGAAAATCCCAACTCATAATATCAGGAATTTTGCCTATGTGCAGATTTTGAGGCAAAGTACTAAAGCACTCTCAAGAGATCCAAGGTTTTTAATAAATCTCTTACATTCACTATATAATGCCTCCTAAAAGACAAAAATAATATTGAAAATAAATAAATTACCAAAGAGAGCTTTAGTAGACAAGATCATGCAATCTTCAATTGCATGTTTTAAAATATCGAATTTCATTTGAAAAGAATCTGTGTTAATCTATTCCGTATGGATCTGTATTTTTTTTGTACATGGATTTGGAAAAAATAACTATAAAAAAATATCCTGCCAAACTGATTTCTGAAACAATCTCTAAAGAATCCCGATGTGGATGACTAGTCTTTGAATAATTTATATAGCTGTTATTGCTTTATATTTACTGCAGTAAAAATCAATCAACAAGCGTGTTCTAAATATTCCAGAATCTTTGGCAATTCCATCCTAAATAATTCTTATGCATACATTTCCTAAATCCTGCCTAATCCCCAATAGTGCTTGTTCATTCACTAAATATAAAATGCACATGAGAGTAATGTGAGCCCACCGTATCCTTAAATGTATTCATGGTTTATAAAGAAAACTTTGTTAATGAGAAAACCTTATTGTATTTTGCTAAACAGATAAAATTAACTTAATGCATTTCAAATATCTTACAACTACCATAAAACAGCTCTAATAATTTGACATTTTGGAATCTGGACTGTGGAGAATAAGTACAAACCATAAAAATGTAGATGTAGGGTAAAAATGTCACCACAATATCCAAAGAATTGTCACATTAAAAAGGTTACTGGAAATAAACACCACTGGATTAGCCACATTACAATTTATTCTTCACAAATCCTGCACAATTTAATTCCTTTGCAGTAGTGTTTGCTATATATTATCATCATTTTCATTTATAGTATAAGAAAAATTAAATGGAGAAAAAAGTTTGAGGTTCCTTAACTTTAAGCCTAAATTTTTAATTACTTCTCCAAGTCCAGAAAATATACAAACTATATAGAAAATAGAAGGAAATGAAACTTTGCTTTCCTGAATATTTCTAGCACTCTAGAAAATGGTTGCTATGGCCACCTGAGGTTTGTTTCCAGCCCTATTCCTTTGTGGGGCTGTCCCTACCACTTTCCTCCATGGTCCTGTTTGGACCATCACTCACAAAGCTTCATTATCCGTTGTGCTAGGCTGCTGCTCTGGTGACCCCAATGAACCACAGCAATGGCAGTCATGTCCTTGGGTATGTTGTCTCTTCTCCTCAGATATGGAGTGGGCCCTGTGATCTTCTTTAATCAGGAGAATGTGGCACAAGTGACCTTATGCCAGTTTTGGGTTAAAGCATAAGAAGGACCAGCAGCTCCACTTTGGGCTTGAGAGGAAGTCAGTTGCTAGGTACAAAGTCTAACTACTCTAAGACTGCCACAGCGTAAGAAGCCCGACCTAGCCACATGGAGCAGTCATGTGAAGGAGAGCTGCATCTTCCAGCCAACAGCCCCAGCTAAGCTCCCAGCCAAAAGCCAACACCAACTTTTGTGAGTGAGGTCATCTTGGAAGTGAATCCTTGAGCTCCAACTGATGTCGCATGGAGCAGCAATGAGCCTGTCTCCCATATGCTTTGCCCAAACTGCAGAATCAAGAGTAAACAACAACAACAAAATGTTTGTATTTGAAGCCAACATGTTTTGGAGCAATTTTTAATGTAGCAATGAATAATTATAACACTCTTCCAAACCCCTACGCTACAAAGATGGGCAAATTAGTATTTTTTTTCCTGAAAGAAAGAGGGTAGTTTTGCCACTAAATACATATGAATCACAGAAATACAGAAGCTTGCAAACAGAGGGAAGCAGATAAGACAGACAGAGAGTCTTTGTGGACTGATTTGAGCCCTCAACTTAGCTGGGGCTGAAGCCAACTCTAGCACTTGAAAGTCCCACTTCTATGTTTCCCCTCTTTTTAAAAATTTTATTTTTTAAAATTTTTACTTGAGTGAGTTGGTGTTATCTTTCTCTTATTTGCAGAAAGTGGATTCCTGATGAATTCTGTCCTGTTCCAGCATGGAACGGGGTTGCAAACGCTGACATCAAATAAAGAAGTGGTGATGAGAAAAAGAATCTGCAAAAGACATCTGAGTCTCTCTGTGTGCAACCTACTGTGTCAGAAGCTGGAAGGGATAAAAAGGTCTGTCAGAGACTGTATTAGTTTTCTACTGCCGCTGTAACAAATGATCACACTTAGTGGCTTAAAACTCTATTTATTATCTTAAACACAGTTCTGACCATCTGACATGGGTCTTGCTGGGCTAAAATCAAGGTGTCATTCGGGCTGCATTCCTTCCTAAGGGATCTGGGGGGGAGTCTGTTTTCTTGCTTTTTCCAGCATTTAGAAGCTGCTGGCATTCCTCACCTGTGGACCCTTCCTCCATCTTTCAAATCAGCAACTTGGATGGAATCCTCACAGGGCATCCTCTTACCTCTTCTGCCTCCCTCTTCCATTGCTGAGGGCCCCTGTGATTTCATTGAACCCACCCCAATACTCCAGGCTAATCTCCTATCTCAAGGTGCTTAACTTAATCATATCTGCAAAGTTCCTTTTGCTGTGTAAGGTGACATAGTCACAGGTACCAGGGATTAGCAGTGGACATCTCTGGGGGGCCATAGTTCTGCCTTCCACAGAGAATATCTTTGCCAAAGAGCTCTGCTCTTCAAGGGAGAATAGTCAGAAATATAACACACACACACACACACACACACACACACACACACACACACACACACACACACTGAGCAATATATAGAGTTCAGTGAATGCAACAGACAACCAGAAAAACATCACATGTGCTTGAGGAAATCACTATAGCTCATTCATTGATTTCTTCTGTAAACATTCATTGAGCCCAGCGTAGGTGCAAAGCTCCTTGGTAGCTGCTAGAAACACAAAGATAGATTTTTGTCCCTCTCTTTCAAACACATTTCTAACAAGAGAGTTAACAAGCATCTAAGTACCTATAACACAGTGTGGTAATAAAGTTAAAAAATGAACTTGTGATTTTGAACTCTGCCAGTTTCTTCTGAATACTGAATTCGATGTATAGATGTATTATTTTTGAAGAACTAAGCAGATTAAAATGTCCTTTTAATTTAGTAAATCATGCCACCGCACTGCACAGCCTAATACAGATGACTTTAAATCAGTTTCAGATTTAGCCACACCGAATCTGAATCTATTTAAATTTTACAGTCACACTCCTATGCTAGACAAGCAGTTTACATTTATACTTTAATTCTTAGAATTACAAAGAGTTTAAATATTGATACACATAAATCTACATGGTGCTTCCATGAAAAGAGTTATAGCTTTCAAATATTCTTGAAAAGAGATTAAGACTATAGTAGATCATAAAAGAGATTCCATTTTTTCTAACACGTTTAGATCAAAACACCAAAAGTGAGGAAGGGGAGGTATGGTGAGCAGGAGAGCCCAGGAAGGGTTTCTGTGATGTTAGGTGAGGGGAGTTTAGTATCCATTATTTATGTATTTATAAAAGAGAAAAGAAAATCACAGATTAAATTATTCAGGAGCCTGAAATGTGTATAAAGAATGTCTAAAAAATACTCTATAGGTAAACATGATCAGTCCAGAAATAGCTAAAAACTTATTCATAGCTAATTTAGATGTTGAACTCTGAATTCCAGTTCCTTGAGAAGGTTTTTGTTGTTCTATTTTGTTTTAAACCACTGACCCTCACCACCCCCAGAAGTTTCTGCTGTTGGAGCTCGTAAGCTGATGGTGCCGTGGAGGCAGAATCCAGGCTCCATCTTTTCTTGTAGGTGTGACTTGCTGATGTCAGGATATGTACAGGGCACTTAGGGATGTTAGTTGACTTTTCCCTCATTTAGAAACCAAATGGTACACATTAAGAACTCTTAATCATTGAGAAGATATGAATTATCGTGC